CCCTTTCGTGTGATTTCTTTAATCTTATGTTGGAGAAGATAATAAGAGCCGCAGAACTGAACCGCTCAGGCACAATACTTTATAAGAGCGTACAATTGCTGGCGTATGCCGACGACATCGATATTATCGGTAAAAACAAGGGCTACGTCTGTTCTGCCTTCTCGGGATTGGATAGAGAAGCAAAGCGAATGGGTCTGGTGGTGAACGAGGACAAAACGAAGTATCTCCTGTCAGCACACAAACAGTCAGAGCATACGCGTCTTGGCACCCACGTCACTGTTGACAGTTACAAGTTTGAAAAAGTAGACGACTTCGTTTATTTGGGAACCAGCATTAACACCAATAATAATGTCAGCCTTGAAATCCAACGGAGAATCACTCTTGCCAACAAGTGCTACTTTGGGCTGAGTAGGCAATTGAGAAGTAAAGTCCTCTCTCGTCGTACAAAGATCACACTCTATAAGTCACTCATCATGCCTGTGCTGGTGTATGGCGCGGAAGCATGGACAATGAAAGCATCTGATGAGGCGGCTCTTGGAGTTTTCGAGAGAAAGATTCTGCGAAAGATTTACGGACCTTTACGCGTTGGTGATGGCGAATATCGCAGACGATTTAACGATGAGCTGTATGAGCTTTACAACGATATAGACATAGTGCAGCGAATTAAAATTCAGCGGCTCCGCTGGCTTGGCCATGTCGTTCGGATGGACAGAAACGCTCCTGCTCTGAAAATATTCAACGCGGGCCGCGATGCTGGTAACAGAGGAAGAGGAAGGCCTCCTCTGCGTTGGAAAGACCGGGTGGAGAAGGACTTGGCTTCACTTGGCATTTTCAATTGGCGTCAGTTAGCACAGAAGAGAAATGACTGGCGTGCTGTTTTGGACTCGGCCAAAATCGCTTAGGCGGTTACAGCGCCAAATAAGAAGAAGAAGAAGAAGAAGAAGAACCTGATCTTAAAGTGCTGTTAGAAAATTTGCCATTAAATGGAGTAACATCCTTTACCTCAGAATAATATTATTCATGCAACGTGCTTTGGGTAAGGAAGGGAAATGATTACATGCTTCCCAAGGTATAGGGAATCGCGACCGCTGCTAAACACTCCACTACTCACTCTGACGACTTTTCGGAGGGACTTATGGATGAAAAAGGCGACATTTTCTATTTCCAGACTTATCAGGTATGGTATTTATGCCTAAAGTTTAGAAATGTAGATATGTATCATCAGAAACGTCAACCTGGAATTCAAGTGAAGAATAACTCTTGCCAACAGGCGCTTCTTTGGGCTCAGAGGGCATTTGAAAAGCAGAGCCCTGTCTAGACGAACCAAAACCACGCTCTACAAGGCTCTCATGATGCCCGTTCTACTAAATATTTGGCGCAGAAACATGGACAATGTCAGGCAAAGACGAAAAGGCATTGGGAGCTTTCGAGAAAAGTATTGTGGGCAAGGTCCTGTTCGCGTGGGCGATGAGTACCGAAGAAGACGGAGTTACGAACTTTATGAGCTTTTAAACGACATGGACATAGTGAAGCCTATAAAATACATGACTTGGCTATGTCGTAGGCATGGATAACGGCGCTCCCATGAAAACCTTCTTCCTCGTATTTTATTTAACTTAAGAGCTGCAGAAAATTTCTAACGTTAAAATACAGCATTATTACAAAATAAAGCCGCTAACAACACGGCGGCTTAACATATCCACTGCCTTTCAATTCCATGCCACCACACCGATAATCACGCCCTGCCACCATTAACATTACGTCCAACAACCCATTTCTGGTTTTTTTGTTTTATGCCTGGCGCGTGCTAACGACATTAATTTAATCCACTTTATTTTTAATTGCTGGCTACTTTTTCGTCATATCCACCGCCAGTAACGAGTGTCATCAATTCCGCCCAATCAGCAGGAAAGCCTGGCCCTTTTCCAGCCAACCGCTGCCGCTGCCGCTGCCGTTCAGTTTATCTTAGCGTAATGGTCGGTCGGTTCGTCCATTGCGCGCTTACCTACATACATACATATGACAATTGCAAAGCTGCTGACATGCTGTAAACATACATACATACATATCTACTCGGCACGGATACTCACGTGTGCAAAAGCGTGGCTCATCGCTGCCATCCCCACAGTCATTAATGTTGTTGCAGTACTTGCTAAGCGGCACACAACGCGTATTCGAGCAGGTGAACTCAGACAGGGAACATTGCTGCTGCTGGACGCCACTGCTGCCCGGCTTGGCCGTGCCTGTGCCCGTCACTGCCGCCACTACAGGCGCCGCCGGCAGCAGCAAAGGCTCGCTTGCCGCTGGTTGTGCTGCGTCGTGGGCTGTGCTGTGCGTGGCAGTGGCAGTGGCAGTTGAAAGAGAGGTGGAAGACATTGCTGTATTGGTGTGTGTGGTTGTCACTGATGTGCTGGCTGCCGGTGTAATACATAGGAAGCATAAAGCCAGCAGTGGCACCAGCGTTAGGGCAGTGATGATGCTGCTACTAGTAAGCGTTGATTTCGCTCGGCGGATGTTGCAGCCACTGGTGGTAGACTCGCGGGCCTTTGTATTTTTCGCACGTGCTGTTGCTCTTGTTTTTGCAATCGGTGGCAAGAAAAATCGCCCAAAAAGATTAAAATCCAAAGTCAGCATGCAACTTGGTTGCCGCCAATTCAAGTGGCTGCTAGTGGTGATGTGTGGCTTTGTTTTCGCCTCTTTTGCTGTAGCTGCGGCTGCGGCTACGGCTACGGCTGCCTGCATTGTGGTAGTCGTCGTTGTTGCTTTAACCATTGCTCTCGTTTTTGTTGTTATTGCCGATTTACGTTGAATTGACGTCGGTGTTGCTGTTGCATTGGTTGCCTTTGTAAGCGCGGCACGTTTTATGATCGCCGCGGCGGCGTAGTCGCGTGCATTGGCTGAGTGCCCGGCAAGGCGCCACCGAGCGTATGTGGAATCTTCGAAAACATCCATTTTACATTGTTGCTGTGGTCCAGCATGGTTTTTGCACTCGAGTTGATTGCAATCTTGTTGCTGTTGTTGTTGTTGTTGCTTATACGTTTTAGTGCATCCCTTGGCTGGCGCGTAATGCCGGTTGTTTTTATGTCCTTTGTAGCTATCACTGCTGACCAAAGGGCAGTGAGCGTGATTTTCGGCAATGTTCGTCATCTGCTTGAGCGGCAGCATCGCGTTTGTGTTGGTATTTTTGTTGAACTTTAATTTTTGTTGCTTCTGTGTTGTTATGCGCTTTTTGCCTTTGAATCTCTGCCGCCATTTTATCGTCATTATTGCATCTGTGAATGTAAAAAAGACAAACAAAACGAAGAATGAAAACAATGCTTTATACAAGAATGACTGAAGAAGGATCTACGTGTGTGAAGTGGGCAGGCAATTCATATTTTAAAGTGAGGCATGCATCCATTGCTTTTCTTTTTCTTTTTCTTTTTATGTTTTTTTTGTGAAACACATTTTATATGTACCTTTGCACGGATACGCTGTACGAGTGGAGAAGTAAAGAATACAAAAGTTAAAGTGCAAAATGATTTCTTTTACTGGTTGCGAATAACTGCTTAATTATGGACAACAATAACTTCCAATTACGGTTGCAAGTATGAGGCGAAACAGAAAGAAGTAAAAGAAGTTGCTATGTATTTACATATAATGGAGTACTATTTGATTTACTTTGTGGTATTTTATCATCTTCTCAGCTCATTCGTATTCATGAAACTCTTTTCCTTTCTTAAGGTTGCTGAAAAATTATGATGAACTCAGCCATCCCCGACGTAAGTGTGATATATGGGCAAAGTTTTGCCAAAGAAAAAAATTAAATCCAAAAATTGCTTATATTATAATTATAATTGGTAAATTTATAATATTATTATTTTCCCACAAGAGATTATTGTAAATATAAATTCTGAGTGAATAAACTTCAGTAGGTTCCAAAATATGGCAGTCGTCGAATTTCCGCCAATTACCATTATATCGGGGATGGGCGTGGTCAATTTCCGATTTTTCCCATTTGCAATACCGTAAGTTCTATGCTTAAAAGTAGTACACTTACTTAGTTTGTTTCGTTAAGATATCTCAACATTTACTTGATTTATCGTGTGCACAGACAAACTGACGGACGGACGGACAGACAGTCACAACTTGGTCGATTTTTCACTCTGCTCATTTATGTATACATTTGTCTAAATTTATCTCGGTTCCTTTAGGCTGTTACAGAAACCGTTATGAGAACAAAGTTATAATGCCCTTGTGCACAAGTGCGCTCGGGTATATAAACCGGTTTGGCTCCAGGAAATATACTGTTAGATTTGTGAACAAGTGCTTTGATGTGAACGGAGGGTGCCAGCTACTCCGCTTTTCTAGTTTTTTAAAGGGCCTGAAAATGGTTTCGTCTTCGTATTAGTCCTCGAAATCACCGTCGTATTAGTTTTAGTCACTGCGTTCGTATTCGTCACCATAGTATTCTTATCGGCCAAGGTATTAGTTTTCGTATTTCTCCTCGTATTCGTCGTCGTGTACTTCGTATTCATCCTCGTATTTGTTTACGTTGTCATTTATTTCTGCCATCAAAAAGCTTCTCATAAAATCCATTTGCAGTTCGGAGGCGGCGCCAGATTAAAAGTTAGTGGGGAAGCCCGGCCAAACAAAGTGTAAGCGCCAAAATATTTTTACTATTATGGAAATGTTGCGTTTTGCTCTAAACAATTTTTTTTCAAAAATAATTTAAAGCAGATTAATACGTTTATTTAAGCAACCTTTAAAGTAGAATAGTAGTAAAATAGATCAGTCCAACGCCTTTATCTTGGCATGAGGGCTATTGCAAAGCCACAGCCGCTAAACCAATCGTAGAAAACGTCATAAATATTATGAAGAGCATACTCAAGTAAAAAATTGAAACACATAGCACAAATCAGAGCTGGGTCGTAATGATTCCTTTAGGAATTAAATCACTCCCAATTACAGATTACAAGGAATTGTAATTAGGAATCAATTCCTTCAGTCCACAGCAAAGGAATCGATTACTTTTTCAATTCCTTGAAGTAATTTCAAATGTAATTGGGTTTTTCTTTAATTCCATTACAAGGAATTTCATATTGTAATTGGAATAAATTACGTGCTAGTAATGTAATTTTTTTTTTCCAATTCCTTTGAAAGGAATTGAAAATGTAATTGATTTTTTTTCAACTCCATTACCTGGAATTGCAAGAGTACTTTAGTTTTTCCAATTACTCAAAGGAATTGTAAAAGTAATCGAGAAACTGAAAGTTTATTCACGAATATACAATGTGAAATTTTTGTTGTGGTCAAAGATTAAAATCGAAAGCACACATTGGACATCTTCTATGTATATCTATATATATATAAAAATGTTGTGTTCGTATGTCACGGTCATCAAAACCCGAGAACGGCTGAACCGATTTGAATAATATTTTTTTTATTATTCGGTATAATACCAGAACCAATGATATCGCAAAAATTTGGTGGGTTGCCACCTATTTTAAAATTTAATTAATTTAAAATCAATGAATTATTACAATATGGGTATTAAGTTAAAGAGGTTTAAGAAAGATAACTGCTGGAAGTATTTTTGACGAGGGTGGCCTCCTATTTGAAAATTTAAACTCAGTCAAATTGTTAAAAAAAATTAAATATTGCCATGTGGGTGTCAAACTAAAGAGTTTTAAGAAGGCTTACTGCCGAAAATATGTTTGAGGAGGGTTGCCATCTGTTTGAAAATTTAACTAAATTACATTGATAAAATAAATAAAATATTACAATATGGGTATCAAATTAAAAAGGTTTGAGAAAGATAACTGTTGCAAATATTTTTGAGGGGGCTGCCACCTATTTGGAAATTGTAACTCAGTTAAATTGATAAAGTAAATGCAATGTTGGCATGTGGGTGTCAAACTAAAGAGTTTTAAAAAGGCTTACAGTCTACCATGAAAACTTCCAGAAATATGCAATATGAAAAGTTCGGTTTATATGGGAGGTGCCACACGCCATTCTCCAACCATGCAAATTTTTCTCCATGAGTATGGAATTGGTCTTATATATGTATATAGATATCACCATACCCAGTTCTAGTCCTCTACCACAAATATATGCAGTTTGAAAAATTCGGTTTGTATGGGAGGTGCCACGCCCCCTTTCTATATCGAAACTTTTTTTAGCTATAACCATCCTTGGAAAGTCTGCAGTAGATTCCGAAATTTCAAAAAAATCGGTACGGCCTTTCTCGAGCTTTGCGAACAGAAAAAAACGCCTTTCAAAATATATATTAGTATAGACTAGCCAAACTCTGCTTGTTTTGCGGGTTAAAACACTACTACCGATGAAAATCGATGGATAAATAAACAAGTTTGCAAGGGTTAAGTGAAAGTGCAATAATTTTTTGTATGAAATACTAGCAGGAAATTTAACAAAGCTATTGCAATTCAACAGTAAAAAAAATTTTTTTTATAAATTTTTCGATTACTTTTTAAATTACTTTGAGGAATGGAATTGGAAAAAATATCAATTACATTTTAAATTCCTTTCAAAGGAATTGGAAAAAAATTACATTTTCAATTCCTTTCAAAGGAATTGAAATAAAAGAAATTACATTACTAGCACGTAATTTATTCCAATTACAATATGAAATTCCTTGTAATGGAATTAAAGAAAAAAACAATTCCATTCGAAATTACTTCAAGGAATTGAAAATGTAATCGATTCCTTTGCAGTGAACTAAAGGAATTGAATCCTAATTACAATTACTGAGGAATGTAATTGTAATTGTAATGTAATTGCATTTACCCAGCTCTGGCACAAATGCACAAGAAATATTAGTTTAACTTTAATATTTATTATCTGCAATCAAATAAGGCATCTGCTAATAAATATTTTATATTAGTTAACATTTGACCAGATGGCGCAGATCATGCTAATGGTAATTTAAATGGTATTGGTAATGATAATGGTTATGACAATGATATTTGTAAATGCTAAGAATACTGATAATGATATTGGCATAGGTAATGGTAATGGTAGTGGTAATTGAAATGACAGTAAAGTTCCGAATAGTACCATTGGTTTACTACTAAATAGGCAGCAAACTTTGCTCAGTGCTTTTGAATGACGACACCGCCCCAGATGAAGGGCAATTGATTTTTATTAAAATTGCATATCTTTTACTTAAACTAATTTGAATAAATCGAGTTAGGGACGAAGAGTACGCTTCTTCACTCGACCAAGACGAAGGGATAAAAGCAATAGTGCAACTTAAAAAAGACCGAGGTAGCCCGCGGTATACTGAATAAAAGCCGGCGGCAAAGAAATGATTGACTATAAGTACCAGATTTAAAGTCCAATTTGGTTTTATGTTGACATGCCTGACGATTGGAATTTAAGTTTAGTCTACAAAATCCACTAGAAGGGTGATCCTGCTATTTGCTTCAGTTACCGCAGAATCAGTTTTCTAAATATTGCTTAACGGAATTATTGATGAAATTGTGTGGCTTCAGACTTGACAAATCTACGATTGATCATATTTTTGCAGTCAATTGAATCCTGGTAAACACCCTTGATAAGCAAATCGATGTTGGTCGGCAAGGTGAGAAGATGCTGTTTTTTTTGTAATGAATTTCCGTCATCCCATTTCAAATTTGGTTAGCAGACAAACTGGTTTGGGTTGTGAGCCATATTTAGTGCCACTTTCAGAGAACGAGATGAGAATGACATTGAAGATTGCACAATGCCGAAACCGGTTCCAAGCCAAATCATCTTATCGCCCTGTCGGAAAAATTAACCAACCAAAACAAGCTTTATATTTATGTACTGTTATTTCAACCCCAGGTTCTTCTTAATCTTCTCCTCTTTTTCATAATCATCTTCATCCTCACCTCAACCTTTTTTTTCAAGTTCATCTTCATTTTGATCATGAGCTTCAGTTTTATCTTCACCTACATGATCATCTTCATCTTCATCTACGTCTTTAGAACGAAAAATGATATTTAAGAGGGACCAACGTCGAGACCGGTTTGTCTTACTGGCTCCAAAATCAATCACAAATATAAAGATAAAAATATAGAGACAGATGAAGATAAAGATATATCAGAATAGAGATTACAATTAAAAAAAGCTAATTTTTTAAATAATAAATAACAAGTACACTAAGCAGAAAATACGTTGCAAATTTGTTCCTTTCTGATATTTTTTCTTTTTCTCTTCCGCGCGTATGGGCTACACGCAGCCAGTTTTTTCTATTTTAAAATTTACTTGCTTGCTTTTACTATTTACGTGT